TCAGTGGTATTTGGGGCAGCCTAAGAGCCATGTAATCTCGTTCCTGCTGCTATTATCATGTTGTCTACAACCTTATGCCCATTTTCTCCTACGTTATACCCTCTCTAACTTAATGCCCATTTGTCCCATTTATCACGAGCCTTCCCCGTGCGACATGGGGAATATGGCGATATGCGATATCCTGTTTAAACTGAAATGTCTAGTTGCCTACAACTCAAAGAACCTTCCCTATCCCTCCACCTTGCCCATGCAGGGGCATAAGGTCGCCAAAGTGTCGTGTGTACATATGCTTGCCGTAATCATATTTGCTGAATGTGGGCTTCTTTAAGCCATGTGTTCATGTGTGTGATGAAATCCTGCAGGTTTTAGCTATTCCTGCTGGTTTCAGTCATGCGTTAATCCCTTTTTACCTCTTCGCCCATTTATCCCAAAAACAGGGAATACGGGCTGCCATGCGTACACATCTTCGCCGTGTTCAAAAATGATGCTCAGAGGGCGCACGCAGTGATCTAGAAATATCACACAACTTCAGAACTGCAACAAGTGTACAGAACGCCGATCCGACTTCTCGACCCAACCTCTGTGGTCCCTGACGGCGTTACCCTCCCTCCGGTCTACAAGAAGAAGGCCGGTCGGCCACCAAAGCGTAGAATGCGGTCCACAGGAGAGATGGACCCAATCAAGTTGCGCAAGTGTGGAAAGTGCGGTGAGTACGGTCATAATGCCCGAACTTGCGAGGTCCGTGCAGCCAACAGAGTGTTGTGGGAAGCTTTACAAACCCCCGCATGGCAATTGTCAGTGCAAACAATGACGGACGCAGATGGTGCAGTGCATGTAGCCCTGTGCAACGCTTGCAACCGAACGCACCGCAGAGGGATTAGGTGTCAAGCCATGCGTAGACAAGGACAGCCAGGTGATGTGGAGGAGGAGTCATGCAGCGAGGATGATGGGAGTGTCGGTTTGGTTGAAGGGATTGGTGAAGTGGATGAGGAGGGACGGGATGATCGTGATGCCGTGACATATGGTGGGGCGCTGGTCGAGGTGTTTGGTAGGGATCCCGAAACTGTCGGTGATGTTGGTCTTGATGAACGCACAACCACGAACTCAGACTTGCCCACTCAAACAGATAATTCGGCGGGGACACAGATAGACATCACCCAAGAGAGTCAGGCGGGACGAGTGTCGGATACTTCGGTGGCCGAGCGGGTGGAAGGGTTGAGGACTGCGGAGGACGTGGTTGCAGGGCGTATACGGCGGATGCAGGGATTACTCCTGCAGCGTGATGTGGCAAGACAGGCAGGAGAGGAACGTGCAACAACTGAAGGTAGGGGCAGAGGCAGGGGACGCAATGCAAGCCGAGGAGAACGGGGAAGAGGGAGAGGGAGAGGCAGAGGCAGATATGGATCTCGGTCTACCACGGAACAGCAGGGAGGAGCTGAACGGTTGGAACAAAATGGTGGGAGCGGATTGGAAGGGATGGAAGGTCAGCAGGGGTTGAGAGGGCAGCAGGGGATGGGAGGACACCCGGGGTTGCGAGGGCAGCAGGGGATGGCAAGGCAGCAGGGGATGGCAAGGCAGCAGGGGATGGCCTGGCAGCAGGGGAGCGGCGGACAGGCAGGGTTGGGAGGGCGGCAGCGGATGGGAGGGCAGCAGGGGATGGCAAGGCAGCATGGGATGACAGGGCAGCAGGGTAGCAGCGGACAGGCGGGGTTGGGAGGGCAGCAGAGGATGGGAGGGCAGCAGGGGTTGGGAGGGCAGCAGGGGTTGGGAGGGCAGCAGGGGTTGGGAGGGCAGCAGGGGTTGGGAGGGCAGCAGGGGTTGGGAGGGCAGCGGGGGTTGGGAGGGCAGCGGGGGTTTGGGAGGGCAGCGGGGGTTGGGAGGGCAGCAGGGGTTGGGAGGGCAGCAGGGGTTGGGAAGGCAGCAGGGGATGGGAGGGCAGCAGGGGATGGCAAGGCAGCATGGGATGACAGGGGAGCAGGGGTTGGGAGGGCAGCAGGGGATGGGAGGGCAGCAGGGGTTGGGGGGGCAGCAGGGGTTGGGAGGGCAGCAGGGAATGGCAAGGCAGCATGGGATGACAGGGGAGCAGGGGTTGGGAGGGCAGCAGGGAATGGGAGGGCAGCAGGGGTTGGGGGGGCAGCATGGGTTGGGAGGGCAGCATGGGATGACAGGGCAGCATGGGATGACAAGGGAGCAGGGGTTGGGAGGGCAGCAGGGGATGGGAGGGCAGCAGGGGTTGGGGGGGCAGCAGGGGTTGGGAGGGCAGCAGGGGATGGCAAGGCAGCATGGGATGACAGGGCAGCAGGGGAGCGGCGGACAGGCGGGGTTGGGAGGGCAGCAGGGGTTGGGAGGGCAGCAGGGGTTGGTAGGGCAGCAGGGGTTGGGAGGGCAGCATAGGATGGGAGGGCAGCAGGATACGAGAGGCCAACTTGGGTCCCAGGATGTGTTACAAGGGCAATTTGGGTACGTTCAAGCCCTTAACCAACGATGGGGACGCGTGGGAATGCCAATGCATGGGAATGTTGCAGGTCTGGAGCAACGTTGGAGCCATGTGGGCATGCCATTGCAATGGGAGGTCGAGGGGTCGGCGTCTGGTATGCACAACAGGTCGCCGTGCCAACAGGGATACGAGAACAGCAACAGCTCTTTGCAGTAGAACGTGTGGGCTATGCATGTTATTATTCATGGATACATGATTGACTTCTTGAGCGCACCTGGTTTGATAACATGTCCTTTTCTTTTATTTCCCACATTGTCTCTGCAACGTCACGAATGGTGGGGGCTTTGGGTATCAAAATACTCCAATGTCAGTGTATGGTGCCTATATTTAACATTTAAAACAGGTAGTATCAAATGTTTAACATCTTCTAGTTGCATCATTCTATTGTTTGTGTTGTTCGGTGTGCAAAATTTTTACTTGCCATATTTATCTCAAACACAAGTGTTGTTCGGTTTCCTCCTATACGAGGACACCTTGTTGTGGGCCGATGAAGTGAGTGGGGCAGTTGCGTGATGCTACATGACTTCCCTTTCATCCCTGCAGGGGTTTAGATGGTACATACGGTAAATGTGTCAAATTGTGTATGTACAGTATGTCACATGCTTTTGGACGGTCAGTATTGCACATATGCGATAGCTGAAAGCAGAGCTGGTGTTTGATGCAAATGTTTCAGAACCCGCACGACAGTATGCAGTGGTGATTGTATTAAAATAAAATACAACGCCTTAATTCTATCATGTTTTTGATGGTCTGATCAGCTTTGTGTCCCACGGAGAAGCCAGCCCACTTCTACTAGGAAACATGCTCGCAGATGATCGCAAACGTATTGCATTTGCATATGATAGTCATGGGCAATGAGGAGGACTAGCATGTACACATTAATGCTGTGAGTGGCAAATGTGTGGCACTCTTGTGCAAACAGTCCACTCTCACCAACTTGTTGATCACGAATTCATAAACCAGATGATGATTATATATGACTGCAATACCAACTGCTATTCATAGTGGTAGTGGTGGCCCTCTCGTTATGTCCAGCATTAAACCGTCCAAAGTGACAAGGAAATATCTCAACACCACGCTTATCGTCCATGTACCTCATCGACAGGCACCGTCTCACCTACCACTAATAACCGCCAACACCAATTTACCCACCCTCTAACCGTCACCTTAGGTAACATTCATAGGTGTATGAACAAGGTAAGCTCCTCTCATCTCTTCTCCTTCCGCCATCCCATCTCCTGCAACCAGCATAGTATGTGTCTTGCAGCCATGTCCTTCGCAGTCCTCAACCCGCGCCCGTCCACCGATATATCCAGCACTCTTGGTGGGTCCGTCATCGTCATGGTGATTTGCCGTCTCCCTTGTACACACTCCGATCTTCCTAACACTCCTAGCACCAGATGTACATAGGTCGGCATGCCTCAAGCTAGCTAGCGAGACCTTCATGGTTCTGTTTTTGGACCCTTGTATGACAATGCGGAAGGGACATAACTCATCTTTGCTGCTCACCTCTCCACCAACCCAACTCAAATTCTTCATCGAGTTGCACCGTACCTCGATAAGTTCTTTGCGACTATAATAGTAGAACTCCCTAATCATATTCTGCCGACAATACAACCGAACATCCTCCCTCGCTTCTGCGGCTGACGGATAAACTTTCCCCTTGAATATGTTGCATACGTCAAAGTCCTGCACAGCGACATAACTAGTGCACCAAACGAAATAGAGATCAAGCAACATCACAACATTGCAATTTGTGAGTGAAATTTGGCATTACAATGGAGTGTACGAACCCACGCACTGTAAACCACGAGGATCTGCAAAGGCCAACCCTAAATTCATAGGCCAGACCTCACCTGGCTTGCTGTGGGTGAGACATGACGCTGATCGCAAGTGCCACGAGGTCTGATGGATAATGAGCATAAGAAGATAACGGGGAATTAGAGGAGATGATAGGAACGGGGAATCAGGACCAGAGAGGTGATGAGAGGGGATGAGAGTGTATGAGAGTGGGTTAGAGTGTAGGAGAGGGGATGGGGGGGAATGAGAGTGGAAGAGAGGGGATGAGAGTGTATGAGAGGGAACGAGAGTGTGTGAGAGGGGATGAGGGGGGATGAGAGGGAATGAGAGTGTGTGAGGGGGAACGAGAGTGGATGAGAGGGGATGAGAGTGGATGAGAGTGTGTGAGAGGGATAAGAGGGGATGAGAGGGGATGAGAGTGTATGAGAGTGTAGGAGACGGGATGAGAGTGAATGAGAGGGGATGAGAGGGGATAAGAGGGGATGAAAGGGGATGAACGTGAATGAGAGGGGATGAGAGGGAACGATAGTGTGCGAGAGGGGATGAGAGGGGATGAGAGGGGATGAGAGGGGATGAGAGTGTATGAGATGGAATGAAAGGGGATGAAAGTGAATGAGAGGGGATGAGAGGGAATGAGAGGGGAGGAGAGGGAATGAGAGTGAATGAGAGGGGATGAGAGAGAATGAGAGTGAATGAGAGGGAATTAGAGTGTAGGAGAGGGGATGAGAGGGAATGAGAGTGGAAGAGATGGGATGAGAGGGGTTGAGAGTGGAAGAGAAGGGATGAGAGGGAATGTGAGTGGAGGAGAGGGTACGAGAGTGTATGAGAGGGAATGAGAGTGTGTGAGGGGGAACGAGAGTGGATGAGAGGGGAAGAGAGTGGATGAGAGGGGATGAGAGGGGATGAGAGTGGATGAGAGTGAATATGAGTGTATGATAGTAGATGAGAGTGAATGAGAGGGAATGATAGTGTGTGAGATAGGACGAGAGGGGATGAGTGGGAATGAGAGTGTATGAGAGGGGATGAGAGGGGATGAGAGTGGATGGGAGGGGTTGAGAGCGTATGAGAGTGGATGAGAGTGGATGAGAGCGTATGAGAGAGTATGAGAGTGGGTGAGAGGGAATGAGAGAGTCTGAGAGTGGGTGAGAGGGAATGAGAGCGTATGAGAGTGGGTGAGAGGGAATGAGAGCGTATGAGAGTGGGTGAGAGGGAATGAGAGCGTATGAGAGTGGGTGAGAGGGAATGAGAGCGTATGAGAGTGGGTTAGATGGAATGAGAGCGTATGAGAGTGGGTGAGAGGGAATGAGAGCGTATAAGTGTGGGTGAGAGGGAATGAGAGCGTATGAGTGTGGGTGAGAGGGAATGAGAGAGTATGAGAGTGGGTGAGAGGGAATGAGAGCGTATGAGAGTGGGTGAGAGGGAATGAGAGCGTGAGAGAGTGGGTGAGAGGGAATGAGAGCGTATGAGAAAGGGTGAGAGGGAATGAGAGCGTATGAGAGTGGGTGAGAGGGAATGAGAGCGTTTGAGAGTGGGTGAGAGGGAATGAGAGTGTGTGAGAGGGGATGAGAGGGGATGAGAGCGTGAGAGAGTGGGTGAGAGGGAATGAGAGCGTATGAGAGTGGGTGAGAGGGAATGAGAGCGTATGAGAGTGGGTGAGAGGGAATGAGAGCGTTTGAGAGTGGGTGAGAGGGAATGAGAGTGTGTGAGAGGGGATGAGAGGGGATGAGAGGGGATGGGAGGGGTTGAGAGCGGATGAGAGTGGATGAGAGTGGATGAGAGAGTATGAGAGAGTATGAGAGTGGGTGAGAGGGAATGAGAGAGTATGAGAGTGGGTGAGAGGGAATGAGAGCGTATGAGTGTGGATGAGAGCGTATGAGAGAGTATGAGAGTGGGTGAGAGGGAATGAGAGCGTATGAGAGTGGGTGAGAGGGAATGAGAGCGTATGAGCGTGGGTTAGAGGGAATGAGAGCGTATGAGAGTGGGTGAGAGGGAATGAGAGTGTATGAGTGTGGGTGAGAGGGAATGAGAGCGTATGACTGTGGGTGAGAGGGAATGAGAGGGAATGAGAGTGGGTGAGAGGGAATGAGAGCGTATGAGAGTGGGTGAGAGGGAATGAGAGCGTATGAGAGTGGGTGAGAGGGAATGAGAGCGTATGAGAGTGGGTGAGAGGGATGAGAGCGTATGAGAGTGGGTGAGAGGGAATGAGAGAGTATGAGGGTGGGTGAGAGGGAATGAGAGCGTATGAGAGTGGGTGAGAGGGAATGAGAGTGTGTGAGAGGGGATGAGAGGGGATGAGAGCGTGAGAGAGTGGGTGAGAGGGAATGAGAGCGTATGAGAGTGGGTGAGAGGGAATGAGAGCGTATGAGAGTGGGTGAGAGGGAATGAGAGCGTTTGAGAGTGGGTGAGAGGGAATGAGAGTGTGTGAGAGGGGATGAGAGGGGATGAGAGGGGATGGGAGGGGTTGAGAGCGGATGAGAGTGGATGAGAGTGGATGAGAGAGTATGAGAGAGTATGAGAGTGGGTGAGAGGGAATGAGAGAGTATGAGAGTGGGTGAGAGGGAATGAGAGCGTATGAGTGTGGATGAGAGCGTATGAGAGAGTATGAGAGTGGGTGAGAGGGAATGAGAGCGTATGAGAGTGGGTGAGAGGGAATGAGAGCGTATGAGCGTGGGTTAGAGGGAATGAGAGCGTATGAGAGTGGGTGAGAGGGAATGAGAGTGTATGAGTGTGGGTGAGAGGGAATGAGAGCGTATGACTGTGGGTGAGAGGGAATGAGAGGGAATGAGAGTGGGTGAGAGGGAATGAGAGCGTATGAGAGTGGGTGAGAGGGAATGAGAGCGTATGAGAGTGGGTGAGAGGGAATGAGAGCGTATGAGAGTGGGTGAGAGGGATGAGAGCGTATGAGAGTGGGTGAGAGGGAATGAGAGAGTATGAGGGTGGGTGAGAGGGAATGAGAGCGTATGAGAGTGGGTGAGAGGGAATGAGAGCGTATGAGAGTGGGTTAGAGGGAATGAGAGCGTATGAGAGTGGGTGAGAGGGAATGAGAGCGTAAGAGAGTGGGTGAGAGGGAATGAGAGGGTATGAGTGTGGGTGAGAAGGAATGAGAGCGTATGAGAGTGGGTGAGAGGGAATGAGAGCGTATGAGAGTGGGTTAGAGGGAATGAGAGAGTGTGAGAGTGGGTGAGAGGGAATGAGAGCGTATGAGTGTGGGTGAGAGGGAATGAGAGCGTATGAGTGTGGGTGAGAGGGAATGAGAGGGTATGAGAGTGGGTGAGAGGGAATGAGAGCGTATGAGAGTGGGTGAGAGGGAATGAGAGCGTATGAGAGTGGGTTAGAGGGAATGAGAGAGTGTGAGAGTGGGTGAGAGGGAATGAGAGCGTATGAGTGTGGGTGAGAGGGAATGAGAGCGTATGAGTGTGGGTGAGAGGGAATGAGAGGGTATGAGAGTGGGTGAGAGGGAATGAGAGCGTATGAGAGTGGGTGAGAGGGAATGAGAGCGTGAGAGAGTGGGTGAGAGGGAATGAGAGCGTATGAGAGTGGGTGAGAGGGAATGAGAGCGTATGAGAGTGGGTGAGAGGGAATGAGAGCGTATGAGTGTGGGTGAGAGGGAATGAGAGCGTATGAGAGTGGGTGAGAGGGAATGAGAGCGTATGAGAGTGGGTTAGAGGGAATGAGAGCGTATGAGAGTGGGTGAGAGGGAATGAGAGGGTATGAGAGTGGGTGAGAGGGAATGAGAGCGTATGAGAGTGGGTGAGAGGGAATGAGAGCGTATGAGAGTGGGTTAGAGGGAATGAGAGAGTGTGAGAGTGGGTGAGAGGGAATGAGAGCGTATGAGTGTGGGTGAGAGGGAATGAGAGCGTATGAGTGTGGGTGAGAGGGAATGAGAGGGTATGAGAGTGGGTGAGAGGGAATGAGAGCGTATGAGAGTGGGTGAGAGGGAATGAGAGCGTGAGAGAGTGGGTGAGAGGGAATGAGAGCGTATGAGAGTGGGTGAGAGGGAATGAGAGCGTATGAGAGTGGGTGAGAGGGAATGAGAGCGTATGAGTGTGGGTGAGAGGGAATGAGAGCGTATGAGAGTGGGTGAGAGGGAATGAGAGCGTATGAGAGTGGGTGAGAGGGAATGAGAGCGTATGAGAGTGGGTGAGAGGGAATGAGAGCGTATGAGAGTGGGTTAGAGGGAATGAGAGCGTATGAGAGTGGGTGAGAGGGAATGAGAGGGTATGAGAGTGGGTGAGAGGGAATGAGAGCGTATGAGAGTGGGTGAGAGGGTACGAGAGTGTATGAGAGGGAATGAGAGTGTGTGAGGGGGAACGAGAGTGGATGAGAGGGGATGAGAGTGGATGAGAGGGGATGAGAGGGGATGAGAGTGGATGAGAGTGAATATGAGTGTATGATAGTAGATGAGAGTGAATGAGAGGGAATGATAGTGTGTGAGATAGGACGAGAGGGGATGAGTGGGAAAGAGAGTGTATGAGAGGGGATGAGAGGGGATGAGAGTGGATGGGAGGGGTTGAGAGCGTATGAGAGTGGATGAGAGTGGATGAGAGCGTATGAGAGAGTATGAGAGTGGGTGAGAGGGAATGAGAGAGTATGAGAGTGGGTGAGAGGGAATGAGAGCGTATGAGAGTGGGTGAGAGGGAATGAGAGCGTATGAGAGTGGGTGAGAGGGAATGAGAGCGTATGAGTGTGGGTGAGAGGGAATGAGAGCGTATGAGAGTGGGTTAGATGGAATGAGAGCGTATGAGAGTGGGTGAGAGGGAATGAGAGCGTATGAGTGTGGGTGAGAGGGAATGAGAGAGTATGAGAGTGGGTGAGAGGGAATGAGAGCAGATGAGAGTGGGTGAGAGGGAATGAGAGCGTGAGAGAGTGGGTGAGAGGGAATGAGAGCGTATGAGAGTGGGTGAGAGGGAATGAGAGCGTATGAGAGTGGGTGAGAGGGAATGAGAGCATTTGAGAGTGCGTGAGAGGGAATGAGAGTGTGTGAGAGGGGATGAGAGGGGATGAGAGGGGATGGGAGGGGTTGAGAGCGTATGAGAGTGGATGAGAGTGGATGAGAGCGTATGAGAGAGTATGAGAGTGGGTGAGAGGGAATGAGAGAGTATGAGAGTGGGTGAGAGGGAATGAGAGCGTATGAGTGTGGATGAGAGCGTATGAGAGAGTATGAGAGTGGGTGAGAGGGAATGAGAGCGTATGAGAGTGGGTGAGAGGGAATGAGAGCGTATGAGAGTGGGTGAGAGGGTACGAGAGTGTATGAGAGGGAATGAGAGTGTGTGAGGGGGAACGAGAGTGGATGAGAGGGGATGAGAGTGGATGAGAGGGGATGAGAGGGGATGAGAGTGGATGAGAGTGAATATGAGTGTATGATAGTAGATGAGAGTGAATGAGAGGGAATGATAGTGTGTGAGATAGGACGAGAGGGGATGAGTGGGAAAGAGAGTGTATGAGAGGGGATGAGAGGGGATGAGAGTGGATGGGAGGGGTTGAGAGCGTATGAGAGTGGATGAGAGTGGATGAGAGCGTATGAGAGAGTATGAGAGTGGGTGAGAGGGAATGAGAGAGTATGAGAGTGGGTGAGAGGGAATGAGAGCGTATGAGAGTGGGTGAGAGGGAATGAGAGCGTATGAGAGTGGGTGAGAGGGAATGAGAGCGTATGAGTGTGGGTGAGAGGGAATGAGAGCGTATGAGAGTGGGTTAGATGGAATGAGAGCGTATGAGAGTGGGTGAGAGGGAATGAGAGCGTATGAGTGTGGGTGAGAGGGAATGAGAGAGTCTGAGAGTGGGTGAGAGGGAATGAGAGAGTATGAGAGTGGGTGAGAGGGAATGAGAGCGTATGAGAGTGGGTGAGAGGGAATGAGAGCGTATGAGAGTGGGTGAGAGGGAATGAGAGCGTGAGAGAGTGGGTGAGAGGGAATGAGAGCGTATGAGAGTGGGTGAGAGGGAATGAGAGCGTATGAGAGTGGGTGAGAGGGAATGAGAGCGTATGAGAGTGGGTGAGAGGGAATGAGAGCGTATGAGAGTGGGTGAGAGGGAATGAGAGCGTGAGAGAGTGGGTGAGAGGGAATGAGAGCGTATGAGAGTGGGTGAGAGGGAATGAGAGCATTTGAGAGTGGGTGAGAGGGAATGAGAGTGTGTGAGAGGGGATGAGAGGGGATGAGAGGGGATGGGAGGGGTTGAGAGCGTATGAGAGTGGATGAGAGTGGATGAGAGCGTATGAGAGAGTATGAGAGTGGGTGAGAGGGAATGAGAGAGTATGAGAGTGGGTGAGAGGGAATGAGAGCGTATGAGTGTGGATGAGAGCGTATGAGAGAGTATGAGAGTGGGTGAGAGGGAATGAGAGGGGATGAGAGGGGATGGGAGGGGTTGAGAGCGTATGAGAGTGGATGAGAGTGGATGAGAGCGTATGAGAGAGTATGAGAGTGGGTGAGAGGGAATGAGAGAGTATGAGAGTGGGTGAGAGGGAATGAGAGCGTATGAGTGTGGATGAGAGCGTATGAGAGAGTATGAGAGTGGGTGAGAGGGAATGAGAGCGTATGAGAGTGGGTGAGAGGGAATGAGAGCGTATGAGAGTGGGTGAGAGGGTACGAGAGTGTATGAGAGGGAATGAGAGTGTGTGAGGGGGAACGAGAGTGGATGAGAGGGGATGAGAGTGGATGAGAGGGGATGAGAGGGGATGAGAGTGGATGAGAGTGAATATGAGTGTATGATAGTAGATGAGAGTGAATGAGAGGGAATGATAGTGTGTGAGATAGGACGAGAGGGGATGAGTGGGAAAGAGAGTGTATGAGAGGGGATGAGAGGGGATGAGAGTGGATGGGAGGGGTTGAGAGCGTATGAGAGTGGATGAGAGTGGATGAGAGCGTATGAGAGAGTATGAGAGTGGGTGAGAGGGAATGAGAGAGTATGAGAGTGGGTGAGAGGGAATGAGAGCGTATGAGAGTGGGTGAGAGGGAATGAGAGCGTATGAGAGTGGGTGAGAGGGAATGAGAGCGTATGAGTGTGGGTGAGAGGGAATGAGAGCGTATGAGAGTGGGTTAGATGGAATGAGAGCGTATGAGAGTGGGTGAGAGGGAATGAGAGCGTATGAGTGTGGGTGAGAGGGAATGAGAGAGTCTGAGAGTGGGTGAGAGGGAATGAGAGAGTATGAGAGTGGGTGAGAGGGAATGAGAGCGTATGAGAGTGGGTGAGAGGGAATGAGAGCGTATGAGAGTGGGTGAGAGGGAATGAGAGCGTGAGAGAGTGGGTGAGAGGGAATGAGAGCGTATGAGAGTGGGTGAGAGGGAATGAGAGCGTATGAGAGTGGGTGAGAGGGAATGAGAGCATTTGAGAGTGGGTGAGAGGGAATGAGAGTGTGTGAGAGGGGATGAGAGGGGATGAGAGGGGATGGGAGGGGTTGAGAGCGTATGAGAGTGGATGAGAGTGGATGAGAGCGTATGAGAGAGTATGAGAGTGGGTGAGAGGGAATGAGAGAGTATGAGAGTGGGTGAGAGGGAATGAGAGCGTATGAGTGTGGATGAGAGCGTATGAGAGAGTATGAGAGTGGGTGAGAGGGAATGAGAGCGTATGAGAGTGGGTGAGAGGGAATGAGAGCGTATGAGAGTGGGTTAGAGGGAATGAGAGAGTGTGAGAGTGGGTGAGAGGGAATGAGAGCGTATGAGTGTGGGTGAGAGGGAATGAGAGCGTATGAGTGTGGGTGAGAGGGAATGAGAGGGTATGAGAGTGGGTGAGAGGGAATGAGAGCGTATGAGAGTGGGTGAGAGGGAATGAGAGCGTGAGAGAGTGGGTGAGAGGGAATGAGAGCGTATGAGAGTGGGTGAGAGGGAATGAGAGCGTATGAGAGTGGGTGAGAGGGAATGAGAGCGTATGAGTGTGGGTGAGAGGGAATGAGAGCGTATGAGAGTGGGTGAGAGGGAATGAGAGCGTATGAGAGTGGGTGAGAGGGAATGAGAGCGTATGAGAGTGGGTGAGAGGGAATGAGAGCGTATGAGAGTGGGTTAGAGGGAATGAGAGCGTATGAGAGTGGGTGAGAGGGAATGAGAGCGTAAGAGAGTGGGTGAGAGGGAATGAGAGCGTATGAGAGTGGGTGAGAGGGAATGAGAGCGTATGAGAGTGGGTGAGAGGGAAGGAGAGCGTATGAGAGTGGGTGAGAGGGAATGAGAGCGTATGAGAGTGGGTGAGAGGGAATGAGAGCGTATGAGAGTGGGTGAGAGGGAATGAGAGGGTATGAGAGTGGGTGAGAGGGAATGAGAGTGTAAGAGAGTGGGTGAGAGGGAATGAGAGCGTAAGAGAGTGGGTGAGAGGGAATGAGAGCGTATGAGAGCGGCGGGTTAGCGCATCACGGTGGCGGATCGTCGCAATGCGCCCGGCAGGGTGGCCGCATTGCGCATTGCGACGGCGGCGGCCTGGTCGGCGCGATGCGCGGAGCGGCCAAAAGCAGGACGCAATGCGCATCGCGGCGGCGGCGGCCCGGTCGGCGCGATGCGCTTTGCGGCCCGAAGCTGGCCGCAATGCGCATCGCGGCGGCGGCTGCTCCTGATCGTCGCGATGCATCTCGCGACGATCGGGCCCGATGCATCGGGCGATGCGCTGTTCGGCGCGCCGGTTTGTGGGCGCATCGCGACAGCGGTCTGATCGACTTTATTCATTCATATTAGTAGTAATTTTCGAGTAACAAGGGACTAAACGTGAATGGATGGGGAAAGGCTTTAGGGCTAAGGCACGCACCGTTGATAGACGTCAGGTGCTGCTAACGAACGCCTTGGATGCGTGAACGGGAAGCCAGCTGGCGAAAGCTATAGCTACTAGTAATAGCGTGAGGAATAGCTGATGGCGGGAAGTAAGTTGGAGAGCTGCGCTGGGGTCAAGGTTCTGTACTTGGTTGGAACCGTAGCGGGCAGGGGGGTGTACAGCACGTCGGGTCGTGGTGTGGTTACGGTGGGTTGGAGGCTCGACGGTACAAGCGTGCATCAAACCTCTCCGCACGAATTGGCGCGAGCGGGAAATCGGCCTGGTTTCAGGAATTTCTGGCGGGGGTTTCATGTGTTACCATTCGCGTGATTCTTTAGCTGTTGCTAGTGACTGATTCCGTGACCCCGCTTACCAAGCCCGTCAGGATACTCGATACAGTTACCGTACGCTTTTTTTTTTTACCATTGACGTTACGGGGTCACATGATGGTTACCTGTGACATATTTTCCCAATCGAGTGCCTCTCAAGCATGGTGTAGATCTGTCTCGCACATAACCCGAATTGGTGGTTTGCGATTTGGCTCAAGGTTTTCGCATACCCTCGCGTTTTTCAAGCTTCATTGGTCCTCGTAGATTAATCTGTTGCTCGTTGTTCTTTTAACTTTGAGATTCTCCCCTGACGAGAAAATATGGCTAGTCGGAAGAAGCCTTTATCGGAGCAGCTAGCGGAGCTGCTAACCCCCGCGCCCACCGCGGGCCACGAGGATCCTGAAGACGCGCAGGGGTTCGGCGCAGAGGCGCGCGCGATCTTTGGCGGAGACGAGTCTGCGGAGGCGGGGGAAGGATGGGGCGCGGCGGAAGCTGGGGTGGTGCGCCTGGGGGAGGCTGGCGCAGACCGGAAGCGCGGGGAGCGCAGGTCCGCGGTCAAGGAGAAGGGGCTGAATTTGCGCGGGAATTTGGTAATGGAGGGGCGGGAATATGGGGGGAATAAGAGCAGCAGATCGGCTCTTTTTGATGGGTGGGCGGATGACGTGGCGGATGACGATGATGACGCGGAGGATGACGACATGGACGATGACGTGGATGAGAGAATGCAGAAAGCCGGTGGTGCGGGGGAAGATGACGATCAAGAGGGAGAGGGAGGGAGTGAGGAGGAGGAGGGGGAGGAGGAGGGGGAAGATGGGGAGGATGGGCAGGACAACGCAGACGAGGATGAGGATAACGAGGATGAAACTAGCGAGGACGAGTATGGCGAGGATGTCGAGGACGAGGCGTTACAAGGGAGTGAGGACGAGCTCGAGGGCGGCGCGCTGTTGACGGCGGCGCGCGCCACGATGGACCTTGGGATGGACGCGCTCGATCGAGACTTTGAGGCCGCTTTAAAAGACGAGTTTCGACCAGCAGCTACAGTAGCCGGGCGGGATCCTAGCGCTGGTAACGAGGACGATGTTGACGAGGATGGTGAGCGGGTAGGTCACGGGGGAGGCGGTGGGGACGGCGGCAGCGGCGCGCCGGTGGCTATGGCGAAAAGTGCTTTTAAAGGAGCGGTTCGTGACGAGGATAAGGGCCGCGCGGTAGCCGCGCAACGCGCGCTGTGGGACCGCGCGCTAGAGCTCCGCATAGCGCTGCAGCGCCCGCTGCAGTCCGCGTGCCGCCTTCCCCACGCGCGCGCACACGCCGCCTTCGCGGCTGTAGCGCCGAACGTGGCGGCGGAGTTCCAGGCTGTAGCGGCCGGCACGCGGACGGCAATCCGGCAGCTGCTGACGCTGCAGGACGAGCTGTTTACCCGGAACGCGGCAGTTGACGGCGCGTTCAAAGCCGCGCGGGCGGCGCTGGCGGAAGGCGGAGGCGGAGACGGGGAAGGGTCGGGAAGACAAGTGCAAGGAGGGGAAGGGGGTTTAGGGTATAACCAGGGTTTTACAGAGGGTGGCAGCAGCGAGGAGGTTTGGGAGCAGATATCAAAGACGTACGAACGGTTCCGACCCTTCTCCCAGAGCTCCATAGACAGGTGAGGCCCTCTCTGGCGCTGAGGGTTTTGGGTTTTGGGTCTAGAGTAAAAAGCGTGTCCTGAAGCTCAGTAGGCAGGTGATGCTACGGTCGGGCTATAGAGAGTCAGTGGGTGCTGCAGGGGGTGTGATGTCAGGGGTGGCCAAGGTTTCGTTTCGAGGGTTCAGGGTACGGAATCTCACGCTAACCCCTGAACCTGACCTTCAACTGGCAGTGCGCGCTCGTGTTGGGGTTTGGAGCCTTGGCAGCAGCCGATGGACATCCATGAAACACCTTGACTGCTCAACAAGAGTGTCACCTACTTTCCCTGCTCCCATCCCTGCTTCTGGAATTTGCCCCCTCTCGCCCCCCCACCCCACCCCCACCACCCCCACCAACACCACCCCCCCCTCCCACTCAATGCAGGTGGCATCGCAAGACCCTGCTGACGTCAGGAGCCATGGCAGCGGATCGCAGCAGCAGCCGGCTCAGAGCGTCTCCCAGCAGGTCGCCTCTGCCCTCCGCGCCCCTGATAGCAGCGGCGAAATGCGAGTCTCGATCCAGGAAGTGCATGCATGTGCTTCAACATCTCCTGCTTTTGTTTTTCTTCCTTTTCTTCCCGCTCTCCTCATCTGGAATGCAGGTGGCATCGCAAGACGCTGCTGACGTCAGGGGCCATGGCAGCGGGTCGCAGCAGCAGCCGGCTGAGGGCGCTCAACCAGGGTGTCTCCCAGCAGGTTGCCTCTGCCCTCTGTGCTGCCCTCTACCTGCTCTCCCAGCAGGTGGCCGCTGCCCTCCGTGCACCCGATCGCAGCAGCATGCGAGCCTCAAAGCAGGAATTCTATGCATGGGCCTCAGAGTCACCTGCTTGTTCCGTTTCTTGTTTCCTGCGTGCTCTCCTCATCTGGAATGCAGGTGGCATCGCAAGACGCTGTTGACGTCAGGGGCCATGGCAGCGGGTCGCAACAGCAGCCGGCTGAGGGCGCTCAACCAGAGCGTCTCCCAGCAGGTCGCCTCTGCCCTCCGCGCCCCTGATCGCAGCAGCAGGATGCGAGCCACATAGCAGGAATCGCGTGCATATGGGCCTTCAGAATTCACCTGTGTTCTTCTTTCTCTGTTTCTACCCACTCTCCTCGCCTGGAGTGCAGGTGGCATCGGAAGACGCTGCTGACGTCAGGGGCCATGGCAGCCAGTCGCAGCAGCAGCCGGCTGAGAGCGCTCAACCAGAGCGTCTCCCAGCAGGTCGCCTCTGCCCTCCGCGCTCCCGATCGCCTCATCCAACGGTCCAGATTGCCCCGCGAGGCCGTCAGTGTGATTGGAGCGAAATCGGAAGCTCTGGCTGCTGCTTTTGCTTCTGGGAAGAAGCGGAAGGGGTTGGATGGTATAGGTGGGGACGAGGAAGTGGGAGTGGTGCACGGGGAGAATGGCTATGTGCAGGGAAAGCAGGTTGAGAAGGAGGAAGAAAAGGAGGGGAACAAAAAGCAGCAGGAGGCGGAGCAGGAGGAGAGGGGAGAGGAGCAGGAGGGGGAGGAGGAGGAAGGGCAAGAGGGGGAGCAGGGGGAGCAGGAGGAGCAGCAGGCGGAGCAAGGAGGGGAGCACTCTGAATGGGACATGGACTCATACGACGATACAGAGTTCTACCAGCAACTCCTACGCGAGTTCCTAGACTCATCCCACCTGGAAGAACTCGGCATTGCCTCCCAGCAGGTGGTGCGGAGGCTGAGAGGCAGCAAGGGCAAGGCGGTGGACAGGCGGGCGTCCAAGGGCCGCAAGGTGCGGTACGCGCTTATGCCGGCTCTCGTGAACTTCATGGCCGCGGAGCCGGTGCAGCTGCCGCCCGTTGTGGAGCGGCTGTTTGGGAACCTCTTTGGACAGGTGCACGGGAAGAAGTAGCTGCTGTGTGGGTTCTCTGATTTGTTCCATGTGGAGGAGCTGGGCTCTGCCCAGCTCAACAGGGAGTGCTGGTATGGTGACTGAGAGGCTGAGGGGCAGCAAGGGCAAGGCAGTGGACAGGAGGGCGTCCAAGGGCCGCAAGGTGCGGTATGCGCCGATGCCGGCTCTCGTGAACTTCATGGCCGCGGAGCCGGTGCAGCTGCCTCCCGTGGTGGACCGGCTGTTTCTGGCAGGTGTATGGGAAGAAGTAGGTGTTCTGGTCGTGGGAGTGTGCAGTAGAGCCGATGCCGGTAGTTGTGATGTTTTTTTTTGTGTGGCTTTGGTATACGGAAGTTCCTGACCCCCGTGTCTGGAGTGTACTTGCGCTGGTTGGATGTTTTTTAGTTAAGGGATGTTTAGTTACAGAGCAACAGCTCTGATTTGGTTTGGATGCCTCAGGTGGTGATCCTCCCAGTCGCGAAGCTAGAACCGATACAGGGTTTATCTAGTTGCGGGTAGCTGAGCATGGTTAAGATAAGGTGGGTTGTTTGTGGGTAGAGTTCTGAACATCAGGTTTTCTAGGGGTGGTGCTCTGCATCCGGTGAGTGAAGCATGTAGCATCAATAAAGTGAAATACGAAATCTTGAAGCTTGTTTTGTTAAACTATCCTTTCGATACACGGATTTACGACGCGGATATCCCTGTTCGTCCAGTCGTCCGTCCACCCACTCAAAGCCTCGTGAAACTGTTCAGCAGAAAGCACTGAAAGATTCTCCGCCTGCCAAACCCGTGAGCAGTGTGGTCTTCAATCTTTCAGTCACTGTTCCAAGCATCACGTGGATCAGAACCGTTCTCCGGTCAGCAGCGGCGGACGGATTGCCTTGCCTTACGATCGCGCTGGTGGAGTGCTGCTGCCGCCGTGGTCCCCGCCGGAGTTTTCTCACGCGCGCAAAGAGTATGCAAGATTGCTGACCTGTCCCAGTTTCAGCCTTACGATAAGGATCGATGTTCCCGACAGCTCATTGCATCCACTTGGTCTTTTAAAATTTGCTCGACGTGAAAGCCAACCAATGATAGAGGGGCGGTGTGATTTCGTCGCTCGCCTCGCCAGCCGTCCCTCAACCTCAATCATTTCGCGTCGCGTCGCCAATCTCATCGCTTGATGTCGTCAATGCGCCAACCATTCCCTCGCTGGTTGCCTTGCCAGAGCGTCACCCACTGTTGAACCAAGTCGTCCACCGGAATTCCTTGGGAATTGTTGGGAAAAGATCATACAGGGGCCGAACAGTGCCAGGGAGGTGATCGAACAGGGGCCAAGAGGCCCGAAAATAACCAAACCACTGCGCAAAAAGTTATTTGCATAGGGTCATCATTTATTGAACCCATTGTTGGAAGGAAGCTTGTCAGGACAGGAATTGCTGCAATGCGGTGCCTGTGTAACGTCTTGGTCGTATCATGTGTTCACTTGCTATGCGGTTGGGTAAGATTCTCGGGAACTAGAAGCGTTTGATTTTATTTATAAAACGGTGGAGGATTTTAACCGAACGGTTGAGGATCTTCTCTTCTCCCTGATGTCAGCCAGTTCAGTTGCTGTTTTCTGTTCAGTTTCTGTCTTGCATTAGCGGCAGCAAAGACAGAAATTAGGGCTACAATTATTATCGTCATTTAGCTTGTAGCTGGACGGAGTACGCGTATCTTCTGTGTCGTCTGACCACGGGGTCCAGTGCAAGATATCTTCGACGCTTAATTGGTACTTAAAACCGGGGTGCACATTCAGCTGAATGTGCATCAAAGGGTATCCCTTGACTGAGTGGGTTACGAGGTGTGCTTTCAACCCCTTCAAGTCGAAATTCGTTTCCCCCCTCCCCCGCAATTTCGTTTCCCCACGCCCCCGCAATTTCATTTCCCCCTCCCCGTCGAAATTCGTTTCCCCCCTCCCCCGCAATTTTGTTTCCCCCCTCCCCCGCAATTTCGTTTCCCCCCCCTCCCGCCAATCTGTTTCATCCCTCCCGCCATTCGGTTTCACCCACTCCCGCCATTTCACCCCCTCCCGCCACCTACGAAATGCCCGAAGCTCTAGCGGAATCATTTTTTTGTCGCCCCTCGTGAGCCAATCACTGTTTTTCTCCAAACCCCCTTCCCAACATCTCAAGCCGAACCGCGTTGAATGTGCACCCTGGTTTTAAGTGATACCACCGATTGACGTGGTAGAATGCAGGGGGAGCGAGCAAAGCAGGTGTTATTTCGCGACATCATGTCCTGCGTAACAAAATGTTCGATTGTTTTTGGCGGTAATGATATTCGATAGGTTTTTAAGCAATAACAAGGCGTGTTAGTTAGTGAGCTTGTGTTGCATAGTGCTGACGACTAGGCGGAGGTATGGCTTCTCCTGCTGCGCGTCCGACGGTAGGATACATTTCTCGGGAGTACTCGCTAATTACAAGATTTGCGAGCGACGGTGGCCACGCATGAAGCCAATGTAGCCAGAGGAAGGTGATGTGTCAGATGCACAGCAGATGTTATTGATGGCAAGTTCGGCAGGTTCTCACAACTGTCAGGCTGTCAGAATGAAGATCAGATAAAGCCAATGTGTGAGCACTTGATGACCTCGTTTGATCACAACAGGTCATTTTGACGTACTTTAGGATGTTATCAAAGGTAGCGTCATTCAAACCCTAGTATTAGTCTGACATGGATTGGCAGAAGGTGCTCGGTTCCAGGATTCCAGAGAATGTGGCTTGCTCGTACACGGCACGCCTTTGGTCCCGATATAGAGAACCACACAGAGTACCTATTTCGCTGGCGACTCGTTTACGTCAGCATTCCGTCTAGGGGTCCTAGTCCAAGAAGGTGCCAAATTTCTTGGCTACGGCGTTCCTTCTGGTAGAGTTTCATCCCACTGGGATAATTGGTCGAGGGCACAGTCATGGACGGTCATGGAGGTACCGTGACGTCAACCTCGTCCCAGTGGAGCGGATCGGACGGCTCTGATCTGTCCCCGAGGGACGTTAGATGCGCGCGAGGCCCGAGACGGCGAGGATGGCGGAGATTGACGGCCATTCTTATCGGGACCCGGCATGAGGAGGAGGATGAGCGGGGAATTGAGGGGAGCTTGGGGAGAGAAGGGGGGGAAGAGCACGAGGGAAGGGGGAACGAGGAGGGTGGTTTCGAAGCGCGTGACCGCGGGGGCGGAGGGTTGCCTTTGGAAGAGCGTGACTATAGCGGTGCTGATCTCGCCGCTCTAAATGATTCGCACAGTAGAGAGTCACAAGGGTACGTTACGGTGCGTGTACTTACTGCATACTCAGCGATCCCTCTGAATTCTTCGCATCCCACCTAAATGCACGTGCCGTTCAAGAAGACCCTGAACGTTTGCACTATGTCAGGCAGAATAACAAGTGGTCCAGATCGGTGGTAAAGAGCGTAGATGAATGGTCAGGGACCAAGAAGGGCGTTCAAAAGCCCAGGTTCAGGGGTAATCGGGCGTAATTAGGAGAGTTCAGACGCGTATCGTAGTCTACCAATATTTTTTTCTTTGCTCTCCCTGCCTGATTCCCTTGCAATCCCACATCCCCACCCGACTGCTCGCACATGCGCTACAGGTTCTGGCACTCGGCACATAGCCATCCACATGGCGCGTCCCCATTGGACCAGGTCGTGGTGGACACGTCAGCAGCACCCTCCGTGTCATTTAGCGACGCACTCATGAAAGAAGTCCTTCCCAGAAGCTTCCCGGATGGGAGTGAGGGGGAGGAGGAGTTGTGGAGGAAAGGAGACGGCATGAGAAAGGGTTTTAAAAGGGTGGGTCGGCGGCTTATTCGGGCTGTGAAGAAACGACCTGTGCTCATGAGACGGCTGGCAGCTGTGGTAAGCAGAACGCTGACTCAATTGTCACGTCACATCACTTTTCCTGTCGGCAGGTGCTCCTTGCTGTTCCTTTTTCGCCGTCTCTTCTACGGTCCCGTTTTTCACTCCCTTTCAGCCAGCGTCCCTCCATTCCCAAACCCCTCAACCCTCCCCATCCCTCTTATCCGGCCAATCCGTCACCCGCTCCGTTCCTCCTCCGTATCAGCTCCACCTGTGGGTGACATCTAGCTGCCTCCACCCATGTTCGCCCGTATGCCCATCCCCGTCCTCCCTTGCTTCTCTCTCCAGCCGCCTTCTCTACTCAATTTTTGAGGCGCCTCAAAAGTCTCCTTCTGAGGCGCCTCAACAAGTCATTCCCTCCTTCGCTATCCATCCGCCTGCGCTGTTTGCTCACGTGCTCCCCATCCTCCCCCTCCCTCCCCCCCCCCACACACTTCCCCTCCCGTTCCCCCCTCCCCTTCAACAGATTTTTGTCTATATCCTCGTTGCAGCATGCATGTTCCTCACATGGTTGCTGATGCGCTCCTATACCACGTCATCCCTCACCCACATGGGCCGCAACATGCGGGCGCAACTGGTGCAGGGCGTATCTGCAGGAATGGGCGCAGCCCTTGCCACTGTACCCTCCTCCTCTGGAGCCCAACTGGCACCTACACTACAAGGAACCTTCGTCTCCTTCTCAGGAACCTTCCCTGGAGAGGACTCATCGGGACACTTACACACACTCATACTCCTTGCTAGAGTTACCAATAATACTCTCCACTATACCGTGGATCCTTCACAACCCGCCAACCCCAGCCTATCCGACGCTGCCACGTCAGCCAGCCCTGTTGTATCCGTTGCAGCACAGTACCTCGCTTCCGCCGTCTCCCCCTCCCAGCTCCTCTCTTCCTGCTTCTTCTCCCCTGACCATGTCCCCCTGGACCCTAAACCCGGGGGTACAGAGCAGCTGTACTACGTGGACGCATGCCCTGTCAGTGTCAACGCCTCGGCCTCTAGTCTACAGGGGACAGTGCAGCAGCAGCAGCAGCAGGGTGATGATCTGCTGGTGATCTCCATAGTGCCGTCGGCTCTCATCCTCGCTCCCTCGGATCCCGGCAGTGACACGGTCAGGGCGCTCTGCATCTCCCTGCCACTGGTCGTCCTCGTTATAGGCCTGCTGCTCGTCTGCATGAACACATCCATGGACTTGGCTCGAACGGGGCAGACGCTGCGCGAGGAGCTGGTGCGGCAGCTGGTGGAGAAGCACAGGGTGGAGCAGCGCAGCAACCACAAGAGCCAGTTCCTCGCCAACATGAGGTGAGCCGAGCCCTCCTCTGCTTCTTATGAGGGTTGTTTTCTTTGGAGAATTTCTAAAGCATTTTAGGCGCCTAAGAAGCTGGTGCGGCAGCTGATGGAGAAGCACAGGGTGGAGCAGCGCAGCAACCACAAGAGCCAGTTCCTCGCCAACATGAGGTGAGCCGAGCCCTCCTCTGCTTCTTATGAGGGTTGTTTTCTTTGGAGACTTTCTAAAGCATTTTAGGCGCCTAAGAAGCTGGTTTGGCAGCTGGTGGAGAAGCACAGGGTGGAGCAGCGCAGCAACCACAAGAGCCAGTTCCTCGCCAACATGAGGTGAGCGTGCGTGAGAGTGTTTTTCTTCTATCTTGAAGCTCAAATAAATACGTGATATCGCTTCTCCGTTCTCCTTCCCTATCGCCCACGCATCCGTCCTCTCTATGCCAGCCATGAACTGGACTGTGCACGCCCCTGGCAGGCGTGATTGGCCTGCTGGACCTGCTGGTGTGTGAACGTGAATCACCCCTGAAACGTCTCAACGCATACATATTAGTCAGGGGCTTGCACAGTAGCGTGTAGTCTTAAGTGTCCCTTAAACTGGTGATTCTTCTCATCACCCCCCCCCCCCCCTCCCCATTCCTCCCCTTCACACACAGCCATGAGCTGTGCACGCCCCTAGCGGGAATCATAGGGCTGCTGGACCTGCTGGCGTGCGAAGCAGCATTGTCCTGTCTTAGAAAGTTCCTCACCCTGGTCTTTCTCCCATTCCCCCCCTCCCACACAGCCATGAGCTGCGCACGCCTCTGGCGGGCATCATAGGGCTGCTAGACCTGCTGGCGTGTGACGCGCTCTCCCCCGAGCAGGAGGCCATGGTGCTGCAGATCAAGCGCTCTCCTCCCCTTCTGCTTTCCTTCCCCCCTTCTTCTATACAGCCATGAGCTGCGCACGCCCCTGGCGGGCATCATAGGGCTGCTGGACCTGCTGGCGTGTGACGCGCTCTCCCCCGAGCAGGAGGCCATGGTGCTGCAGATCAAGCGCTCTCCTCCCCTTCTGCTTTCCTTCCCCCCTTCTTCTATACAGCCATGAGCTGCGCACGCCCCTGGCGGGCATCATAGGGCTGCTGGACCTGCTGGCGTGTGACGCGCTCTCCCCCGAGCAGGAGGCCATGGTGCTGCAGATCAAGCGCTCTCCTCCCCTTCTGCTTTCCTTCCCCCCTTCTTCTATACAGCCATGAGCTGCGCACGCCCCTGGCGGGCATCATAGGGCTGCTGGACCTGCTGGCGTGTGATGCGCTCTCCCCCGAGCAGGAGGCCATGGTGCTGCAGATCAAGCGCTCTCCTCCCCTTCTGCTTTCCTTCCCCCCTTCTTCTATACAGCCATGAGCTGCGCACGCCCCTGGCGGGCATCATAGGGCTGCTGGACCTGCTGGCGTGCGACGTTGCGTTGTCTAGTCTGCAAACGTCCCGTACACTGGTCCTTCTCCTCATCTCTCCCGCTTCCCTCTCCCCCCCCTCCACACACACACACACACACACACACACACACACACACACACACACACACACACACACACACACACACACACACACACACACAGCCATGAGCTGCGCACGCCTCTGGCGGGCATCATAGGGCTGTTGGACCTGCTGGCGTGTGACGCGCTCTCCCCCGAGCAGGAGGCCATGGTGCTGCAGATCAAGCGCTGCGCCTCGGGCCTGCTCGCGCTCATCAACAACGTCCTCGACATCTCCAAGGTCTGAGCCCTGCCCTGTCTTGTATGGTTCTTGAGTCGTCTCAACAATGGGCTCACTCGCCCCCGAGCAGGAGGCCATGGTGCTGCAGATCAAGCGCTGTGCCTCGGGCCTCCTCGCGCTCATAAACAACGTCCTTGACATCTCCAAGGTGAGAGAGGTCTGCCCTGCCCTGCCCTGCCCTGCCCTGTGCCTCGGGCCATGTGCCCTGCCCTGAGCCCTGCCCTGCGTGCTCTTGAGGCGAGTTTGAGGCGCCTCACAAAGCTCTGTGCCTCGGGCCTCCTCGCGCTCATCAACAACGTCCTTCACATCTCCAAGGTCTGAGCCCTGCCTCGTCTGGTCTGGCCTTGATATACCCTAGCGCCCGTCAGTGTAGTCACGGAGATGGAGACCCCTCCATCATTCCCATCATGTTTGCAGTGCACTGCATCTAATCATTCCCATGCACCCCTCACCGCACCCCCCCTCCACCTCCCCCTGCAGGTGGAGGTGGGGGCGTTGGAGCTCACGCTAGCGCCCTTCAGTATAGTCACGGAGATGGAGACGCTACTGGACATGTTTGCAGTGCACTGCATCGGCAGCGGGGTGGACCTATCGATGGATCTCGCAGATGACCTACCCGACGTGGTGCTGGGGGATGCAATGCGGTTCCGCCAGGTGCTGAGCAACCTGCTGTCCAATAGCGTGAAGTTCACGGAGCAGGGGTATATCCACGTGCGCGCGTGGGTCGTGCACACTCCCAACACTATCGCCATGGTGAGCGAATAGCGAGGGTTTTTGTGATCAGCCTCTCCTTCTCCAACCCCTGTTTTTTCTCACTGAACCAGCACTCCCTCTCCTTCCCTTTCTCACCGAACCAACAATCCCTCTCCCTCCCTTTCCCCACTCTCTTTCTATTCTCCCTTCCAGTCGCGAACAGCCCTGGAGAGCGGTGCAGACATATATTCTGTGCGAATGAGCGCTCTCAGCGCCCTCCTCCCCCACAAGCCGCATCCGCCTGCTGCCACGCCTGGTCCCCCTGCTCTCGCTTCTGTTGCTTCTGCTGGCAGTGGTGTTGGCAGCGCTGCTGGTAGCGTTGTTGGGAATGCTGCTTCTGCTGCTGGTACTGCTAGTGCTGCTGCTGGGGCAGCTCGTAATCACAGCAGGCACAGCTTACAGGCAACAAGGGAAACCGGATTGGTAGGAGAAGCGGAGGAGGAGGAGGAGGAGCGAGAGGAGGATGGGGTTGAGGATGGGGAGGAGGAGGAGGTGGAGGAGGAGGAGGATGAAGAGAGCGTGGGGGGTCGCAGGGGCAACCCCCATGGTTGTGCTCCTATGATGGCAGCGGCAGGGTGCCTACCAGTAGGGGCAGTAACAGGAGGCTGGGAACGAGCAGAACGAGGGGGAGCAGCAGGCGGAGGTGCATTCACAGGAGCACGGGTAGGGAGGGGTGGGGGAGCGCGAGGGAGGGGTGAGGGAGCGCGAGGAGTCTTGGTCTGCGCAGGCGGGTTCCCCTGTGCAGGCGGGCTGCCCTCCTCTTCACCCTCCTCGTTGAACCGCTCTGGTAGTCTCAGGGAGCAGAGCAGCCCGCTGCTGGGGACTCGGGAGGGGGGAGTGAGGTCCTACAGTAACCGTAGGGCCCCAGGGGAGGTCGTGAGAGGGCTGTGCGTGGGGGGGGTTGCGGATACCGCAGCTGAATCCGACACAGAGGGGAGTGAGCTGGTGGATATAGTGATAGAGGAAGGAGGAAGGTTGGGGTGGGGCGCAGGAGTGGGGAGGGAGGCTGGAGGACAAACAGATGGGATGGCCTGCAGTGGAATGGGATCGGGGTCAGCTGGGGAAGGTGTCGCTGAGGATGCTGCAGAGGAAGGGGAGGGTGTACCTGGTGAGGGTCCACCTGGGGAGCGCCCAAATACGGGTGATGAGGAGGTTCCACCTGGGGAAGGCCCACCTGGGGGGGAGGAGGGTCCAGCAGTCGAGCCTGCCGCAGACGACCGAGTGCTGATAATATTCGAAGTTGATGACACGGGGTGTGGTATACCACCGGAGAAGCGCGAGGCGGTGTTTGAGAGCTTCTCGCAGGTGGACGAGTCGGCCACGCGCGTGCATGCAGGCTCGGGGCTGGGGCTGAACATAGTGAAGGGGCTCGTGGAGCTCATGGGCGGCCACGTGGCTGTTGCTGATAAGGAAGGTCCCGGCGCCCTCATTAGGTTCTCCCTCATGCTGCCCCGCGTGCCCTCCGCTGTTGGTGGTGCTGCTGCTGGTGGTCCTGGTGACGGTGCTGCTCGTATGGATGAACCAGACCACCTATCGGCATCGTTCATTCCAAGGTGCGTGAGTGTTCTTGGAGCATTCAAATGGCACATACTCAGACAGACATACGCACTCGAGAGCGTTTATCCCAGCAGAGTCTGAAACCGATTCGCAGGTGGCAACGCTGCTGCATGAAACCCATCCCATCCACTTATCCACCCAACCACCCATCGTCCCATCCCATCCACCCATCCACCAGGTTTGGTGAAGGCCAGTCGGATAACCCATGGGGTGAGCTGGTTCGCTCCCCTCCTCGACCAACCCCTCCTGCTCTCAACCACAGCGAGGTAAGCTCGTTCCCACCTCTGACCTCTGAGTGAGTTCACTTTTGAGACGCCTCAGAAGTTCCCAGCTCACATCGTTGGATAGCCCATGCGGCGACCTGGCTCGCTCCCCTCCTCGACCAACCCCTCCTGCTCTCAACCACAGCGAGGTACGCTCGTTCCTCCCACCTCTGAGTTCTGAGTGAGTTCACTTTTGAGACGCCTCAGAAGTTCCCACCACTGAGATTTCAGTTGACTCAAAGCTCACATCGTTGGATAACCCATGCGGCGACCTGGCTCCCTCCCCTCCTCTCCCCGACTCGTCTATTTTCGGCACTGAGTTAGTCCTTCCCTCCCCTCCCCTTTCCTTTTCCTGAAGTGCAGGTTCAGGTGGTCTTGGGAATGGAGGAGTGCCCAGGCAGGGCCACAGCAACTAAATGGCTGGAGGGCAAGAGAATTGCAGTGAGGGAAGTGGGGGCGTGGGAGAGCATTAAAACCGCACTGGACCACGCCATTCACACCTCCCTGCTGCGACGCCGAACCGCTACCCTCACTGCTGCTGCCGCCACCATTGGCCACGGGAAAGGTGCAGCTTCTGGGCTGCCGGGAAGGGGAGACAGAGGGGTGCAGAGTGGTGCAGAGGGGCGAGGCGAGGCAGGGAGTGGTTCTCAGGGACGGGGCAGGGCGTATGTGTCGTCTGAGGCGCGGCGGCGGTCGTTCACTGCACCTATTGTGCTTGCAGGGCGTGTGGGGGGGGGCTCCCTGGGTCCCGCTGCTGGTCCTGCTGCTGCTGATAGAGACGCTTCTTCTGCTGCTGCTGCTGCTGGTGTGGGGAGGCATGAGGGAACGCGGGAGGGAGAGAGGGGAGGAAGCAGACGGTGGTTGTCATCCCGTCTGCCACCCTTTGAGTCGGCTCAAAAGCCATCCCAGGGGCTGATTTCAAAGATGGAGCTCTCATCTATGCTGTCGTCTTCTCTCGCTGCTCTCACTGGCCTTGGGCACTCGTCCCACCACACGCTTGCTTCCTCCCACCACATTCAGCCAGGTCACAGTCAGTCTGGTCAAACAGGTCAACCGAGTCAACCGAGTCAACCGAGTCAGCAGCACACAGCTGCAGCTCAAGAAGCCCCAGCGGTGCTCACCCACAGAGCGAACACGTGGGATGGGGACAGGGAGCGGGAGAGCGAGGGGGAGAAGGGTAAGGACCGGGAGAGTGACGAAGGGGAGGAAGCAGAGACGGCGAGGGAGAAAGAGAGGGAGGGAGAGGAGGCGGAGTGGGGAGAGGAGAGGGACACAGTCACAGTTGCAGTCTCACACATGAACACAGACATAGAGGAACATGCAGACACGGACAAACACGCAGACACAGAGACAGATACAGACAAGCTTGCCGCCCGCAGCTACCCCATCCTGGCAATCATTGACATCATGCTGCTTCCAGGAAGCCGCGGGCTGTGTAACGCCCAGCTAGACCCAGCAGAGCAGGACCCACTGGCAGTGGGGGCGTCTGCTGCCAGTGATTTGCCTCGCTTCGACAGCCCCAGCTCCCGCCCATTTCTCGTGCCGCCTCAGCTGGAGAGGCTGTGTGCTGACCTGAACACCATCCGCACGGAGACCCCCCAGGTGAGTTGCGTTCGGTCTGCTTAGGGCTGACTGACTGGACCAAAGGTGACTCCTCCTAAGGTGCATGAGAAGCTAGGCTAGAGCTGCCGGAGCTGGAGAGGCGGTGTGCTTGTTCGTGGTCTTAGACGGAAGAGTTTTATCACAATGGGATGTATGCTCAAAGCAGAGCTGAGCTGACCTCATCCTCAACTACATACATGGGCATGCAAACCATATTGGTGCGACTTTTGAGAATTCTCAAAAGTCGCACCAATGTATGCTCAAAGCAGAGCTGAGCTGACCTCAACTACATACATCGGCACGCAGACCCCGCAGGTGAGTGAGCGACAGCTCTTCTCTGTGTGCCTCTCGAAGTGGCTTTCTGAGCTGAGTTGGATGGAACTCTCAACTTTGTGAACGCTGACGTTCGGAAGCTCCCCCTCTTTTTTTTCCTTCTTCCCAGATGGCAGAGTC